TATACGTTTTTAGTTTGAACTTCAATAAGGGAATATTGTTGTTGGTTTCGAAGAGCCAGTTGACAGAGATCGATATTGAATCTCCCTTCTTATGTTGCCAATCATCACGCGAGTGGCTTTGTACAAAGCAGTGAGGTCGCTAGCGACTGCGCTAGCAATAACAAAAGCAAATTAAGCAACAGGTTGCACAACAACAAATCCAGCTCTTGGAGTTTGAATAAATGGAACAGAGTCATCGTAGAGAGTCTCTACTGACTGTCGGGAGTTGGAGCTCTGGTCATTGGATTCTCCTCTTTTGAGTCATTTTTGCTGAGGAGTTTGATGAGATCTAGGTTTTCTTGTGGTTGATTTAGCTTTGCAAGTATATAGATGGGAATCAGAGTGTGCCGTTTTTCATAAACGACACCAATGAACTATTTAGTAAAAGACTTAGGTTTGTTTCCTTTTGATAAAGTGAAGTAATTCAATGTAATAGTGCTCTCAGATGCAGTGGTATGGACTAAAATTCTATATAGAAGTTATTATCGATATTCTCAAGTAAGGATGGTGAAAGGGCACAGTTGTTCTAGAATTTGACAGAATAATAGTTCATAAAAGGAACAGTGACCAAAGTGCCACTGTTGGCCAAAAAAATTACCAGACTGCCACGCCAACAGTAAATTTTTCCAAAATGCCACGTGGCATATTTCGCTACACTGTGTAGCCAAATATGTGTGCAAATAATTCGCTACACAGTGTAGCGAAATATGCCACGTCAGACTGCTCAGAACCAAAAATGCCATGTGTCAAAATTGAAGAAATTCGCTACATAGGGTAGCGAATTTCTACAATTTTGACACGTGGCATTTTTGGTTCTGACGTGGCATATTTCGCTACACTGTGTAGTGAATTATTTGCACACATATTTCGCTACACAGTGTAGCGAAATATGTCACGTGGCATTTTGACAAAATTTATTGTTGGCGTTGCAGTCTAGTAATTTTTTTGGCCAACAATAACAAAATGGTCACTGTTCCTTCGTAAAATTGTGAATGCAATATGTCCCTTCAATTACTAAATATAAGGTATTTATAAATGGAAAAATATTCTCTAATCAGATAGAGCCCCTAACCTTTTTGTCTATTTGTCTATTGGGCCCCACAAAGGCAAGTGCACCTCAAGATATTTATTAAAGCAACTTGGTGCAGAGAGAGAAATCTTCTATTATAACTATAAGAGTCTAAAAATTTCACTTTAGGATAGTAGAAAAATAACCCCTATACGAGCCTTTAATGATTTGCCCATGAGATAGCGTCACTGAAGCCGGTCCAAAACTCTTACGTACTAATATAAAATTATAAATGTTGATTGAATAGATGTTATCCAAAGGGAGCTGTACGTAGTTAATAATTCGAAAATATAACCTTTTTTTTTGGAAAATATAACTTTCATAAGCTGGTGACATTTCCCTTCACACTACAAGAAAAAATCTTATTAGTGGCAAAATTTTATGAAATTTTGTCACAAATTTCTACGTCGCAAGTAAATTTCGTCACAAATTCCTGTGTCGCAATTTTATTTGTGACGAAATTTGATTATTTGTGTCGAAAATTGTCATTTGTGACAAAATTTATGACAAAAATTTTTCGTCACAAATAAACTTTTTTCTTGTAGTGTTCATGACCAGTGGCTTATACTTAAATAACAAGCGGTGGTGTGGATAGCCAACAAGGAGAAACGGTGACTACCTTCGTTTTGCAGGCAAAAAAATATTAAAATAATTCATTTAAATTAAATAATTACGCATTTAATGTTGTTTTGTAAAAAATTACACATCTACTGCACAATGTGACGTCATTTTTGGGCGTCACATGTGACGCCCAAAAGTGGCTTCACATGTGTGCTCTATATATTTCCCCACCCCCTCCATTCAATTCACACATCTTCTCTCACTCTTCGTATCTCTCTTCTCCACCAACATTCCTTTATCTTTAATTTAGTATTTGAATTTTATTTCTTATTCTATTTAAAAATGAGCTCAAATCCTGATTCTGTTCGTGTTGTGTTATATTACAATGGTAGGATGGTAGAAGGTCGACGAGGTGTCATCTTCGAAGGTGAAAAAAGGCCGACACGTATCCAACGCAACACAACCATTGGCAAACTGCATCAGAGAATTCGGCAGAAGTTAAGTCTTCCAGACAACCAATGTATCACTGAATCACGACAAGGGTGTGGCAAGGTGATAAATACATTAGTTTGAAAGTGCTTGACGATGAAGACTTGGAGATGACAATGGAAGAATTTTGCAACTAGTCAAGGACAGATTTTCTAGAGTTGTATGTCGACATCGCAGCAATCGAGAATGCTCCCTTACCGGTGAGGTCAGTTTATTTAAATTCTCCCTGTCTTCCAGCTTCTCCTGCCGCTCATGCGTCTCCAGTTGGTAACTTTTCTGAGGGAGATAAAAATGATCCGACTTGGGAAATGCACGACGAAGATGACGATGACGACGATGAAAATATGGCAATGGAAGAACGTCTTCTGGCGGAGGATGCTAGTGCTTCAGAAGGAGATGAATCCTGTGAGATGGGTGTGTCTCAAATCCCAATATTCCATCAACCAGTCGTCGCGCAAATGCCGCAGTTGAATGACGTTGCGTCTGCCTCGTTCGGTATTCACCATGAAGGTAATTGATCCCATTTGTATATAGCTGAATAGATAACTGATTTAATACCTGAATTAGTAAGTTTGTATAAGAAAATTATAATTCGCAATTGCAGGTGACACAGATGTTCTTCCTTTTTGGGAAGGAATTCCGCATTATTCCTACATTGATTGGAGTTATTAGGGCGAACAAGAATCATGTACTGATGGTTCGGTCTCTGGATCGGCTTCAATACAAGGTCTGTGGCAACTGGGTGACATGTTATTTGTCAATCAAGAATTTGCGACAAAAAAAGATGTCCAAATGGCACTTAAGCACAACCTCATTAGGGAGCATCAAGAAGCCATTGTAATTGAGAGCACGCCTGCAAAGTTGTCCATGAAATGTTGTGCGTATGATCCAGGTTGTCCGTGGCGCGTAAGGGCAATCAAACCGGTGTTTCGTGAAAATTGGAAGATTACGAGATGAGGTGGAAAACACGAATGTGTGAATAAGCACATTTCTCAGGGTCATAGACAGCTTGATGCGGATGTTATTGCAGATCTCGTCATAGGTACGTATTTATTTATCGTATTGACATGTCAATGTTTACGTATTGCCGTGCAATTAAATTCGTTCGATGTTATCGAGGCACTGACATCTTCAATGCAGGGATGATAAAGTCAGAACCATCTGTGTCAATCTCTTTGGTGCAAGAAAGGATAACTGCTAAATATGGCTTTCAAATTTCCTACAGAAAGGCATAGTATGCGAAGCAGAAAGCGATGGCAATTATGTACGGTGATTGGGAGGAATCGTATGCTTTTTTGCCAAGGTGGACGGTGGCTATCTTTGAGTGGTGGTGATTCAATAAAATAGTGTTTTTAAGCTGAAAATTTGAACAAAAGTTTCTTTTTTTAAGCTGAAAATTCGCTCAAGGTTTACGTTTTATTTGAAAAAATATGTTAAAGAGAATTTGCTTTTGGCTGGTTCTCTCCTGGCGGATTTCGTTGTTACAAGCTGGATGCGACTATGTGTATTGAAGTACTACTTTATCCTTATTTGTTTCGAGGCAGTGCCTTTAAATAGGTTACAATTATTTAATAATTTGCAATTAGCTAGTGCCTTTACAGTATTATTTAATAACTATTTAATACATTCTATTAACTAGTTAGTTGCACTTAATTTTTATATACATGAAGATCGTTTAACTATTAATACTCTAATTTATTAATACAATAATATTCAATTAACCAGTTCCTTTAAAATACTGTTTTAAGTACTATTTAATTTTAATGCTTTCTATATATTAATAATATTATTTAACAAATAAAGATATTGTGCCTACTTTCTTTTATGTTACTCTACTAACTATTCTTCAATATCATTATATCACAATCTCAACTGATTTTATCTTTTCTCTCTTTTTTGAGATTTTATATTTTTAATTAATTTTAAAATAAAGGAAAGGTTATATTTACTATCATTTTAACTTTATTACTCTTATTACCTGATTGGTTACTATTGAATCAATTTGAAATCAACAACAGCTAATTTTTCCCATTTTTTACTTAGACTTAAAACATTAAGTCCAAGTAAAGCACATTTAACAAATGGATTTTTAGACATATATGTATCAACCAAATTTGTTTGTAGCCTTTCACATTTCTTATATACTTGCAATGATATGCATTATGTCCTTTTTTTTTCATAATAGTTGCATTTAACAAATGCACATGTGAAGTTTTTTTAGCATGAGAATGATGTGCCTTAGACTTTTTATAACCTAAAACCATAAATAACATGTGAATTTTAATGTATAACATCAAAGTTTTTGACTATCAAGTATAACATCAAAGTTTTTCCCGGCAGATGTAAATTTCTCCAAATCATCATTCAATCTTTTAACTTTTTCTTTAAACTTTTCGCATGTGGTGCAAGATGTAAATAGGTAATAATCCAAAGAGATAATAATAATCATTCTTTTAATGTATCAAAGCATCAACTAAAAACAATATTCACTTAGACTTAAATCCAAAGAGATAATAATCATTCTTTTAATGTATCAAAGCATCAACTAAAAACATTATTTACTTTGACTTAAATCCAAAGAGATAATAATCAGTCTTTAATGTAAATAGGTAAGTGTGGTTTTGTGGACAGGTGGCATCCTCATTTTGCATCATATACGTAAAATGCAAAAAAACAAAAGTTAATCTAACTTTAATGAAATGAAAAAAGAAAACTCTTTAATTATATTTAATACTTCCGCGTGGACATAGCCTTTAAATTCAACAACATTCGTCACTTTGCAGTTACTAAGTCCTAAAGCATTCGTACCCGGGGAAAGAAACAAAACCCTTACCTTCAAGCCATGGCCATCTCCAAGACTCTGTTCGCTCCAATCGTCATTTCTCTAGTCATTCTGCACCTTGTTGAGTCAGATACAAGGGTAAAACCTATCAATTTTTCGTTCATTTATTCTTATTATATGCTTCTTCTTTTTTTATTGTGTGCCTCAAAATTTTTTTCCCCTAATCAACCTTCAAAATAAACTTTTGATGTGTTTTTAGGTGATCAGCAACATGGTGGAGAACGCAAGTCCAAGTCCCAGCCCTCTCTCACCAAAGATTGGTACAAAATCCTATATGTCTTAGCAACAATCTTTTCTTGAACAATCAATTGTGTTTGTTTTAGATTTTTAATTATAAATATTTAATTGAGTGTATTATTTTAAGATAATGTAGATTGTGATGGTGCTTGCGATGGGAGGTGCCAGTTATCATCAAGGCCGAATCTATGTAAAAGAGCATGTGGGACATGCTGTGAACGGTGCAATTGTGTGCCTTCGGGTACTTACGGTCATTACGAAGAGTGCCCATGCTATGCCAATATGACCACCCGCGGGGGAAAACACAAATGTCCTTAATTGAATTGTTATTTATATTGGTTTCGTTTGCTTATTTATGTATCCACCCTATGTGGTGGTTAATCAATAAAGTAAAATTCGTGACTTACTTAACAGTTCCTTAAGAAACGTTTCTGTTTTTTAACTTTTCGTCTTCTTCCTTTTGTGTCTTAAAGACACAGAATGATGGGTGACTGGATGATTTTGGTTTGACAGTATACTCCAAACTAGCGCGAGTTATAACAGCTGCTCTGCAGTGGCGGAGCCACATGTAGTGTGGGTATGACCTCGATCCGAGCTAAATTTTAATAAATTATACTTATTATATATAATTATATAATTAATTATAATTTAACCCGCATTAAAATTATAATTTAGTCCGAGCTACAATTTATAATTTGGCACTATGTAAAATTTAAAATATTTTTGATAAAAGATTTGGGTAAGTTGTATTAGGTTATGGGTGTGCATGGTAATCATTCTGTTCCACGGTACTGTTTCTGAAAAAAAAATTCTTTTTTATTTATGTGCGTTGGAACAATTTCTGAGAAAAAAATGTGTTTGATAACATGTTTTATTTTTATCTGAGAATGAGAATTGCGTTTGATAACACAACAAATAATAGAATAAAAAATCATTCCTATTAAGCATAATTTTTTTTCGGATTATCACTTTCATTTTCATATAGTGTGGTGGCGGTGACAGTAATGGTGACTGTAGTAGTGGCGTTGTGGTGGTAGTGGCAGTAGCAGTGGCGTGGTCAGTGGCGTGATGGTGGTGGTGGTGGAGGTGATGGCATGGTGGTGGTAATGGTGGTGGCGGCGGTGACAATAGTGGTGATGGCATGGTAGCGGCGATGGCGACGGTGGTAATGGTGGCGTGATGGTGGTGACGGTAATAGCTGCGACGATGGTGGTGGTGGAGGCGGCGGCGGCGATAGTGGTGGTTATAGTAGTGGCGTTGTGGTGGTGGTGGCAGTAGTAGTGGCGTCATAGTGGTGGTGGCAGTAGTAGTGGCGTCATGGTGGTGGTGGAGAAGTGATGGCATGGTGGTGGCAGCGGTGGCAATAATGGTGATGGCAGCGGCGGCGGGGCGGTAATGGTGGCATGGTGGTGGTAGTGGTGTGGTGCTGGTGACGATAATAGATGTGGCAATGGTGGTGGTGATGGTAGTGATAATGGTAGTGATGGTGATGGTAGTGGTGGTGGTGGTGGTTATGATGGTGATGGTGGCGGTGACGTATAGGTGGTGGTGATGACAGCAGTGGCCGCAACGGTGGTGGTGATAATGGTGGCGATAGTGGTAGTGGCAGTAGTGGTGGTGATAGTGACGACATGGTGGTGGTGGCAGTGGTGTAGTGGTGGTAATGGTGGCACAGAGGTGGCGGCGGCGGTAGTGGTGGTGGTGGTGACGGCAGTGGCTGCGACAATGGTGATGATGATGACATGGTGGAGGCAGTGGTGGTGGTGGTAGTGGCGGTGGCATGATAATGGTAGTGGTGGCGGCGGCAGCAATGGTGGTAATGGTGGTGGCGGTGGTGGTGACAGCAGTGTTTGCGACAATGGTGATAGATGACATGGTGGCGGCGATGGCGGCGGTGTAGTGGTGGCGGCGACGATAATGGCAATAGTAGTGGTGGTGGTGGTGGTGGTGGTAGTACAACGATGGTGGTGGTGGTCATGTTGGGATGGTGGTGGCGGTGGTGATGATGGTAGTGGTGGAGAGTAATTGAGAGAGATAAATATTTCTCATTTTGTGCCCGGGAAGAAAAAAACAGAATTTTTTTGATTCTTTTTTCTGTTCCTCTGCACAAAAATTAAACCGGTTCATCCGGGAACAAAAAAATAAACCGATTTTGCCAAACGAGTTTTCTATCCATTTTTGTTCCTGGGAACAGAAATTAAAAAAAAATTGATTCCGGGAAGGTTATCATGCACTATGTGTCTAATTTCCATTTGTATAAAAAATTAAATTATTTTTAGTAAAATTAAATTATTTTTAGTAAAATTAAAAAATATTTAATAAATTTATAACTCTTTTTAGTGCTGCTTGCTCAGATGTTCTGTATATAATATAATTTAAAAATACTATGATATGAACTAACTAAAATTAAAAGAAAATACACATATAATTTTTTGGTCAGGCCTCAAATTAGAGCCCGGCTCCGCCACTGCTGTTATGGATTAAGTCTTTTAAAAGAATCAAATCAAGAGAGACCCCTCGTTTGTAAAAAAATCTTGTGTTCATCATCATAATTATCAATAAAAAATGAATTCACTAAATTTGCATTACCTTCATCATCCATTGCTTTTAGCGGCAAGAATTCACAAAGTCAAAAAAAAGTTTTCACATAACTCAAATATCTCAGATAACTCAGATATCTTTTTTTTTTCTAACATAACCTTAAATATTTATCCATGACATTGAAATATTCAGTCAGCAACCATTGTGCTGCAACCTCTATATTTCATTTGTTCTAGTTCCAAAACACACTAGAAAAAAAAAAAACAGAGGAGAGGAAAGGCTACGTGCGCTAGTCTAATGGAGAAGAAGCAATATAAGGGAAAAAACATGAAAGCTGAGAAATAAAATGAATACTCACTAAAATAGAAACAAAACAATGTATCAGTGTTGGGAAAAACAATGTATCCAAAATATGAGGAATGATATTCTTACTACCAAAATTTTCTACTACTAACTTACTACCTATCTAATCACCATTGAATCAAAGAGAGAGAATGCTAAAAAGTTTTTGAAAAAAGAGAAAATGTTGATCCAATAGTGATTAGATAGGTAGTGAGTTGGTAGTAGAAAATTTTGGTAGTAGAAATATCTCTCTTCTCCATATATATATATATATATATATATATATATATATATATATATATATATATATATATATATAGGGATATGATCAACTTAGATCGGTGTAAGAATAATAAATCTTACACCAAATCTTAACCATTGATTTACGTGCATCCAATGGTTGAGATTTATTGGGAATTAAAATTTAATTAATGAGTGAGACCTAATAAATCTTAACTGTTAGATGCAGAAAATCAAAGGTTAAGATTTGATGTAAGACTTATTATTCTTACAAAGGTGTAAGATGATCCTACCCCATATATATATATATATATATATATATATATATATATATATATATATATATATATATATATATATATATATATAAACATTGGGGAAGAACTTATAAAAGATTAAGAGTGCAAGAAGATTGAGGTGTGTTGGTTCTAGCATACCAAAAAGAAGAGAAGAGGGGCTTAAGTCTGAACCCTTGATTGAGAAGAGAATTGGAAGGAAAAAAAGAATAACGTGTTTAAAAGAAAAAAAAGGCATAATAAACATTAACATCGTTAGTTAAATTTGGATGGAAAACAAGTAGAAGGAGGTAATTGATTATGAATCAAAGCACAAGGGGGTAGGTGGTAAAAAAAAGTACTTTAGGCTGGTAAATGATTTAGAAGCAAAATTCAAGGGGGTTTATGAAGTTTTCCTTTAAATTATTTACTAGTTGATATAAGTTAATTATTTTTTATCGTTTTTATTGTGTAGTTCCATAAACATGACATGTGTTAATCATATCATGGAAAAAAAATTTGGTGCTCCAGACCCCATGAGGTCCTTCTATTCAAGAGGTGACACTTAGACAAAAAGTTATTTTTTATTTCTTTTCTCTCTTCTCTTTCCTCATTAATTGTATGATTTTGATTGGTCTGGATCACTGAATAAATAATGGTTCAAAATCACTGAAATTCTTCTCCATATCATGATGACACATGTCACATCTGTAGGGTCTATTTAGTCAAAAGTAATTAGAGGAAATCAAACTATATCACATTGATAAATAATTTCTAAATACTTTTTTAATATGTCAATTTGTTTATCTACTCAGATTATATATTAATTACGAATTGGTCAATTTGTAATTAATTATTAAAAGTGTAATTGTATATTAATGACTAAATTATATATTTGGGCGTGAATGACTGCAATAAATCTTAAATTATATATCACTTTGTTTATCTACTCAAATTATATATTAATATGTCTTGTTTGATTAATATTTGACCGACACCATTTAACTTACCTGTTCATTTACTTGAGAAAGTGTCAATTAAATATTGTTTAAATAGATATAGATTAATATATAATTTAAAATAAGAAACAAATTAGTATATAATTTCAGGAGTAAAATAGTAAATTAATTTTTAACCAAAAAAATAGTAAATTAATTATAAAAGAGGGGGAAAATCTTCCATCAACCAAAACATGTAACCTAAGTTCTTATAATATGATATTAGATTAGAATATAAAATTAAATATAAACGGTTATAAAATTGCTCATAATAAAAATCTGATATTAGAATTTCTCCAATACCTGAGATACTGCGGTCGAAACGGAAAGAAAACAAGCAAACGTTGCTTTATTGGATTGTAGTAGTGATGTTTTCACACCAACATATTCCTTATATTCATTTTAAATTAATAACTAGATAACATTTAACTCATTTTTCAAAGGCTCAAAATTCAAATTATTCTAATCGCTGGCACCAGCTATGTTAAAAAGAAGGGTTATATTAGTATAATGTTACATGAAAAATAATGTTTGTTCCAACACAAACATAAAGGAAGAAAGAGAAAGTGAGTTTAGGAAAGAGAAAAGAAGAAATGGTGGGCCCCATAAGTTTTTGTTTGAGTAGGAAAACAAGTTTAAATCATGTTACATGATACATACATTTCCCTAAAAAGAAACCATCCCAAACAAGAATAATTACTTGATTTGCAGGTATCGCCGTCGGAGAATCCGAGATATCCAGAGTAACACAGTCAAACATGAAAAGGAACCAAACACTTCAAACATAAAAGATTAGGCCTACCTTCCAATATGCCATCGAAACGGAGCCCAAAATTTAGCACAGAAGTATTGGGCTGGGCTTGTGGGTTAACAGAGATATTCATATTGTGATAGTATTTTTCTTTAATATAAAAGGAGAGAA